TATATATATATATATATATGTTTGTGCGTGCGTATTTTTTAAGATAACAATAGAGAAGAATTTTTTTAGAAAGAATTCAGCATATAGGCTCAGAAAATGCTTTGGTTTGAATTAGAAAACAGCGAAAAAAAAAACGCTGAATCAGTATTGTCTTTAGTATGAAATTTTATGTATGATTCTTTAAGTTAAATCTTTTTTATTATTGATACAAAAATTTTTTTCATTTGTTGCAATTTTATTTAAACCTTTATTTGATACAGAAAGTCTTTGTTCCATTCCCGTTCCGTATTCTGGTCTGCAAATACAACCTTAATTTTACTTTTACAGCTGAGCAGTGTCAAAGAACGTTTATCGTCTGGTGAGCTTCGAGTGACAAAGGACGAAATAGAAGACGATATTGGGCGTAGTGAAATACCACGGTTTCTGAGTGACATCTCAGCAGACAGCAGCTCACAGGTATTCAAAAGGTTTAAATCGGTTTTATAGGTGAATTTGGAAAGAAACAAATTTTTTCACAGCTGACTTTTACAATTTTTTTTAGCGATAGGATAACTGTAGACTCTCAAAGCGGTGTTTGAAACATTTTTTAAAGGCAGTATTACTGCTTTCTGAGAACATAGTTTTTAATATTGAAAATAAAACTATATCTTTGGATAAGAGGACGTATTAATAAACCAAAGTCGTTACATTACGCTTTTCAATTTTATGGCTTTGAGACACGCATAGTGTCTGGCAGCACATGCAGAAATTTTGAACAAATTCTAATGTTGCTCAAACTGTACTTTCACAGTCGCATGTGGCTAATTTTTCAGTTTTGATAAGAGGCACTAGATTGTTCTTCCTACCAGAACATTTAAAAATGACAGTTTTGCGATGCGCACCCATGTTTAAAAAAATGCTTAGCAAAGTAATAGCTTGAAAATCGGTTAGTTAAAGAAAAAAGTTTATGTTAGTGGAATAATGATTGGCTTTGTTATCGGCTAACTGTACGAAAATTTTTTAGCGAATTATGGGAAGCCGAGGAAAATGAAGCAAAAAAAAACTTTTCAAACTATTAGACCTTAAGCTGACAGCAACAATAAGAGTCAAAAAAAATCGTGTCTTCTAATGATTTGTGGTTTGGAAATGAGAAAAAGCACAATTTTTTCTTGTTTCGCCTGCCGCTATATTTTCTTCTGTGCTTTAGACTTCAATGACTTCGTTTGATTTAGTTATTGCAGAAAATGTCAACAGAGCTAGATGAATATGTTCTACGGCAACAGTACTTTTTGCAACAGCAGAATCAGCAACGTATTTTTGCGATGTTGCAGGCAGCTCAAAGTTCTGGCAGTAACGGTCTCGGATTCATCTTGCCAACAGGTAATCATTGTTGTTGACGTTCTACCTTTGTAGTATTAACTGTAGCCGTTGTTGCTGTTGTAGTTGCTGTAGGAGAGGTGTTCGGCGGAACGTCGTCCTCTCTTTGCTTCTATGATGTTTGTTTATCTCGTCGCTGCTGAGACAGTCTGTTTATCTGAAAATATAAGGCAAAAGAAACTAACTGAGAATTAAGTGGAAGAAAAACATGGTTTTGATTTTTGCTTCCTACGATTAGTGGGAGCCATCAAAAAATTGATAGTTTTTTTTTGTTTTCGACTTATAAAGTGCCTTTCCTGTTCTGCTTTTTTCACCTCTTTTACCAACTATGCCACAAGTATGGCAATGACAGAATTTGTTGGTTTCCCGCTCGACTGTTTGTTTGTTTGTTGACATCTCTACAACAACAAAAATTTTGGTTGTTGTGCACTGTTGTTGTTAGCAGGTAGAAAGGAATTCACTTAGTCATGATAACAGAACATTCATTGATTAATCATAATAGTAATAGTAGTCATCGTATAGAATTTTTTCCTTTAAGATCGTCTACGCTCTTAAAAAAAATGATTGCAATTTGGAACAGAATTTACACGTTTACAGCTTTTGAACTAAAAAAAGTTGATATGTACAACAATGTCTCGCCATATCAATTTGATGTAACTGCAGGATGAGGAGGGTGTGAGGTAGAGCAAATAATCTAAGTATTGACTGCTTTTTTTTGTTTTTACTGCGTGGTTCTTAATAGTCTTATAACTGTGAAGTACATTGATCATTTTGGAACAGCAGTAGGTTAGAAAATTGAGCGTTAAAATACTGTCTGATGTATGATCTACTTGCAGCAAACACATATGAACAACTGTTAAATGGTTCAGTGTTGGCTAACAACAACGCTGCGCTTCGGGCGTCTCAGCTGCTCTCTCAAAACCTGGTTGCTAGTCTTGCGGCTACAGTACAGCGTTCGGGCGTCACAGGTACGGGAACTGAAAAGGCAGCCCCAGAAACTCCGTTGAATTTGTGTAAAATTGATGTTGATAAGTAAGTTTTACTAATATTCACATTTTTTACTATTGTGCTGCTCTTTTATTTGACGTGGTTTCTGTATTATTAGTTGAACATATTGAAGTAGTATTTCTGAGTTGCAAATTGCTATACCGTTGATGTTTGTTGAGGATAATGTAAAATTAGATGTCTGGAATGCTGACTGTGTTTTTAAGCCCAACGGATTTGTCGAAGCCGCGCCCCATCTGTATTTCTTCGCCGCCGAAGTCGAACGCATTTTCGGCTTCAAATTCATCGAGCCAACAGATGCCACGTCTACCGTTTAGCTCAATTAGTCATGCTCTTGGCTCAGAAAGTAAAATATTTTTTATTAGTTATAAAAGTCGTCATATGGTTTCTTAGTTAAGGTGGTGATTTTCGTTTGTTTGCCGTATCAAATCGCATAGTGTTGTTCATCAATGACCATGTAGTTCTTTATTTTATTTTATTTTCTTTTTTTTTCTTTTTTGCTTTTGGTCAAGTGACAACAACAACGGCAGCAATAACAAAAACAAGAACAGAGGAGAAAGTAAAAAACTTGTAATGGGCTATTGCAAATGCTTCAAAAAGAGATGGTGTGAGACATTATTGTTGCCGTCAAAGACCGCACAGTAAAGGATGCAACATTGATGGTGCACATTTCATTTGTGCTGCTTACAAGTTGCTTATCATTGTGTAAATACTCTCGTAAAAAATTTTTGAGCAATAATATTAGTACTATTTTTACAACCCTAAAACCTTTTTTTGGCAATAACATTGATTTTTGCAAAAACAAATAATTTTTTTCTTTGGTGCTTAAACGATTTACTGCTGCTATATGAGTTTTGCATTTATTAGTTTTTCGGTTATGCACGAGCGTTATGCTTTTAGAACATCATAGTGTAATTTAAATAGGAACTACATTGAAGGAAGTTTGAAGTCAATTCTGAGTATCTTTAACCCTAGCTCTGGTAACTGTAGTTAGTATACGAAAGTTTTGTGGCTAGGAACTGTATTGCGCTTCATATAATCTTTAAAAATGTTTCATAGGACGGCGACAAAGTAAGTGTAAGTTTTGATGTGGTTGTACAGTATTAGAAAGATAGAAACTGAGAAGAATTTAGTGGGAATCATATTGCTCATATTTCTTTTTAGCATCGGCGTTTAGCAGTCATTCGCCGGTTTCATCAGGAAAAAGTTCACCAGGTGGAGGGAGCGCTGCTACCGATACGGTCACGAATCGGATGGTTGTTAAGTCGCCCAATCACATCAAAAGACCTATGAATGCTTTTATGGTTTGGGCTCGAGATGAAAGACGAAAAATTTTGAAAGCTTGCCCAGATATGCATAACAGTAATATATCAAAAATTCTTGGTGAGTTTATTGTTTTCACCACCGTTATATTCAACTTTATCGTATAGTTACTGACATTCGCTGAGTTACCGCAACTCAATGTCAAAATAATTTTAGGGTCAAGATGGAAAGCTATGTCTAATACTGAAAAGCAACCATATTACGAGGAACAATCAAGGTTAAGCAAACTGCACATGGAACAGCATCCTGATTACCGATATCGGTATGTCATGACGTATATGATTTTAAAAATTTGCATAGGCTTGGAGGTCGTCATCTTGCTACATTACAGTCATTTGATTAACTGTTTCTTTTGCTTCTTATTTTAAGTGTTGAACTGTACAACGTTTTCAGCCCGAGGCCGAAGCGTACTTGTGTAGTAGATGGCAAAAAAGTGCGAATAAACGAGTATAAATCATTAATGAAGAACAAGATCACAGCTCGAACCAGTGACTGGAATGCTGATTCAGAACAGCAAAGCTCTTTGAGTCCAAGAATCCAGAATTCACATTTGTCGCCATCGCTTCTGCCAAATGCATCGTCGATTGCTACCAAATCGCTTATGTCACATTCCACATTTCCGACGGTAGATTTAGCAGGTCTCAATGGAGCGGCGTTATTGGCTGATTTGGCACATCATCGACGTTTGCTTCAAACTGCAGAATAATCGGTGATTAGTGTCAGTAGAAGTTTATTGTTGTGTAAATATTATAAAAAATTATAAATTTTATTTGTATTTTGATTACTTATTCTGTAGTTTTTGGTCTTTCTAAAGTGGCTGCGGCAATCCAGTTTGACAAATTCCTTGTCAACTGAAGTACCGCAGTCAGTTTAGGAAGACGCGAAAAACACTTTCTGGAAACTTAGGCAATCACTTCAAGTGTTTCTTACTCCAAGAAACAATTTCACGGTTTGAGGAGAATAAATATTATCACGGAAGTCATTTGCTATATCTAAAATAAATTTTATTTTCCATTATTATTACAGATTATTTTTCTTGAAGAAAAGCTTATTTGAAATAGTTGCCTAAAGATTTCCAGTAGGTGACAGAGGAAAATAAAAAAAAAGTCATTTTTACTGTTGTGTTCAAAAATTTTGTGAAGGCGATTGGTTGTTCTCAAGTTTATTAAAAATGCTCATAATTTTGATTCTTGACGTCTAACATTTTTTGCTCATGAATTCATATTTTTCTCCTTCTATGATTTATCCTCTGTTCTTCTTCAGTTTCCAGCAATTCTTCGTCTGAATAAACATCTAATTCGCCATTGGACAACATACTGAAACAACGTTGGTGTTTATCTGATTCACGGTTTTAACTTTCCTTCTTTGATATTACCTGAAACAATACTGTTTTTTTTTATATATATTTTGTCAACATTACTATTTGCAAGAGTTTGCAAGTTTTTTTTTATTTTTTTATTTTTATTCCTATTTTTTTTTTATTCCTATTATATTCCTATTTTTTACGTTCCTGATCACGTTCTTCTTTTTCTTGTCCTCCTCGCCCACTTCTCATTTTCCTCGAGCAACAAACCGCAGCGTTTTCCAAGATTTCCAGTAGTGATGAGACAACGCTACAGCTCATCGCTACCGGTAAATGTAGGGGATGCTACCGTTTGTTACTTCAGTGGCAACACTATTCGAATCATTATGCAGATAAGAATTCGTGAGGAGTAATATGTGTTATTTTTCCGCTGGTTGAAAGAGAGATTAAAAGATGAAACAAAAAGTGAGAAATAAGGAAAGAAGAAAAGCGGTAAAAAGTTGAGGGCACTGTTGTGATCCTGACAATTTTCCTTCAAATATTGAAGCAGCACTTTCCTACTTTTCACGATTCTTACTCTTGTTTTATTTTATCGTTTTTCCTTATTGCCGTCGCCACCAAGTGTTTTCATTAAATTTGGTCTCCGACAAAAAAAAAAAGGAACATTTTTTGTAAAGCTTTTTCGCTGATAGTTTCCACTGTTGTCGTCAACCGGACAAACACTGAGTCAAACTGACGGATGATTGAAAACACGGGAGGTAGTGTTTACCGATGTTGGGTGCGGGTAGACAAATGAGAGAGACGGAAGAGGAGGACCGAATGATAGGCGGTTTGTGGTTTTCACAGTTTGGTTTTTAACGGACAATGTGGCATTTATTTGTATATTAGTGCCAGAAAGATTTGCTGGCATTTTTTGTAGTCAAATTTTTTGTCTTTTATGTTTTGCTATTTTCTTTATTTCATCGCTTTTCCTCCTCCTCCATCTCCTCATTGTCGTCATCGTCGCCGTCGTCTTCGTTATCGTCGTCATAGTCCTCGTCGTGATTGTAGTTGTTGAAATTGTCGTTGTCTTCATCATCGTTATCATCATCGTCATGATCATCATCTTTTTCACCTTTATCGTCTTCATCTTCACCTTCATCCTCGTCCTCATCGCCATCTTCATTTTCGTCGTCATTCCTAGCATCATCTTCGCCACCTATATAACAGTAATTTTCATGTTGGTCAAGCAACAAGGATCTGCGTTCTACGGTGCTTTGAACAATATGATTAATGAGAGGTACAGTGACTTTGTATTCCTAAAAGCTAATAGATGTTTTTTTACCTGTAGCTTTATACGTTTTTTTTTGCTTATCATTCTGTTACTTCTCTGTTTTATATTTTTATTTCTTTTTATTTACATATCTTCTTTTACTTCTGTCTATTTTTTTCCTTGAAAGTTCAGATAAAATTCTCATGTAAAGTATTTTATTGAAGTGTCCGTATTTCATCTTCTCCGCTCGGTTACATTTTTTTCCAGAAATAATGTTTTCATCATTAATCCGTACTTGTTTCGCTGACTTTTTTCATGTTTGAAAAGCGATATGTTTAGATGTTATTTTGTTTTAATGTAGTTTTATTTTGGCCTAGTCGTTTTTTTTATTCGCTTTTTTCTTTCCATTTTTTTTAGACTGCTTTCTTTTTCTTTAATATTCTTCTACTAGTGCGTTTGTCTCATATCTGTCAAAAAAAAGAAAAAAAACAAAAAAATAAAAAAAGTATAAAAAAATGTTTACCACATTTGTTTCTGTTGTAGTAGAGTTTAATGAAAATCTATTTGCACTAATAAAATTTTCTCAATTGTATGCACGTTCATGGACAACCAGCAGCGGCTTCAGTTGTTAACGAGATCTTTTACATGTTCTAACATTCCCCTGATGCTGTCAAAAAAGAATTGGTAGTTTTCCAATACCAAAACCATTCTTCTCCCAAATGTCTTTGTTTCACGCGCAGAATCTGAGAGTTATTTTGATGGCAGACTCGTACAGCTTCGAAGAATTATCCATTGCCGCTTCCTTCGTCTTTGGCACTACTAACAGCATGGGCTCCAGTTGTGCTGCAAACAGTTTTAAAAATTCTTTGAAGTGAAATGAGAATTCAGGAGCTGCGCTGATTGCCGTCCGTAACGCCTAGTGGAGCTCATTCTTCAAATCATAAATAGATTTCCAAAAAAAAATGTAAGCCAAATTGCCTGGTTCCATTTGGCTGTTCCATTAAACTGTAAATTGCGTGAACTACAGGACAACAGATAGGCAAAAAGAGTTCTGCAGTGGGAATTAAACATTTCTATTAACACGCTTTGACACATAAGAAAAAAAAATACGCATAGAACTGAAGAAAAAACATAGTAGTAGACATTTTTTTATACATCCATGCCTCCATTTGACCAAAATTTGACTATTATAGTATGAGGATGGGATTTCTGTTGCCTGAAAAACGGTGCTCCAAGTGCGTGCCATTTACGGATAACATTCTTTCGACTTTTTCAGCTGTGTTTAAAAGGAACCGAAAAATATTAATTGGTCAGAAATGGGAGAGTAATTCTAGTATTAGGAGGCACTTGGAGTTTCGTTTTTGAAGTCAGAGCGCTGTTAGAAGGAAAATACGGTAAGGACAAAAAGAAAAAGAAGACAATCAGAAGTAAAATTAGAAAACTTATACAGTTCTTTCTCTACTCTGACAAAATGACAGTAGTATGGACAATAATGATAAGCACAAGAGTAATAATAGCAGCATTAATAATGATAACAAATGGCAGTTCTGAACTAATAATTGACGTTGGCTTTGTAGTTGTTAATTGTTGCTCTACTGACAACTGGACTACATTGGCATATAATAAAGTATCATTACAGTTCAACCACTAACCGACAAAGGATAATGTCCAAACAGCATTAACTCACTATTTTACCCTAACGCTGCTGTGACCCCACTGTACACATGCGACTGAAATATGAAAGGAGGACTACCTACTTGGAAAAAAAATTTTTTTAACTGATTTTTCCACTTCCTAATTAATCATAGTAGGCAAAAATAGCTTCCAACATCTCTTTTTTGTATTAGCG